ATTTTCCATGTGAAATCTTGCAACAACAAAGTTATAAGACACCCAGTAGAGACTATAACTGTGTTTTACTTGTACCGTAAGTTATAATTAAATTTAAGTTTTAGTAGTTTATAGTTTAAAACCCATAACAAACCGAAACTATCAAATCGATCACATCAGATCACATATTTTCAGTCTGATTTGACAAACTCGTTACATAATATTACATGATATTATTCTAATTTTTTCCTTAAATCACACATATAATTTCATAGGTTAAAAAAAGGGTTGGACTTATAACTCCGCATTTCCAACCCGTATTTAAACAAAAATACAACCTATTTAACTGTATAATTATTTTAATATAATTATATATATATATATATATATTAAATACAAGGTATAAATATTCACATACCAAAGTTTATGACACAATTTAATAGGCTCATTAAATATGCACACACACACAAAATGGTCCATGCAAATATATGGCATTGACAATTGACATCACACCCATGGATGAAATGCATATAGATACAAGGATAAGGTTTGTTCCCTTCCCTATCTACCCTCCACACGTGTGGATGCCCTACCCCTCAACACCTAACTTATTCCTTTGTTTGGTATGCAAAAAAAAACAAACCTAATCTCTTTAACAATATCAAACCATCCATAAATCCTACTCATATTCTCTTTTCTTTTAAGTCCCACCAACATGTCACAAGATTAGCATCAAGATTCTTGATTATGCATGTTTCCTTATTTGAATATCGGAAAGAGAACTCGACCGATTGTTATGGTCCTGTGTTAGCCTGTTTGGAGAAGGAACGGGTGAGGAACGTGGGAGGGGTGGGGGCGGCAGGAGATGGATCCGAGTTTCTGATTGGATAGGGAAAAGGGTGACGAGAGAATGGAATAGACGGGGATTTTGAATTTGATCATGTTGGTGGGTGAAAGCAAACAAAGTGTCTTGTGTTTGGAGAATCTTTTTTGCGAGATGGTGAAAGAGTTGGTTGGTTTTTTGTTTAGGTTTCTTATGACGATTGTGTTCTTCTTGGCAACTGCTGATTATTTTGATTTGGGTATTTATTTTTATTTGTTTGCGTGTTGAAAAGAGTTGTAAGAATTGAGTGATGTGAAGCTTCCGGAAAGTAGCCACTGGAAGGAGACTAAAGGATACAAAGGGTTGTGGTCCAAGAGGATGTGGTGGAATATCTCATTTGTCTTGGATTCAATTCCAGTCCGCTATAATAATAGTGACCATTAAGTTTATCGAGACTGATGTCTTATAGTCACAATTTGTCGGGATTAGTCTGGTATAGACTGGACATTCTTCCAAAGAAAGAAGACTAAAGGATATTATGATCGATGTCTCACGACATCCTAATGGTTTTGTTTGAGACGTTGTTTCACCAACTTTTGATATGATTCGAGTTACTCTTTTTCCATTGCAAATAAAATATAGCACCTGTATTTTTTAAGGTACAACATTTTGGATTGACGTTCTTTTTATGAGCTTTTGGATGTCTTTTAACGAGTGGTGCAAAAAACCACAGTAGAATCATGCAATGCACGCTGCTAGATATTTTGAATATATATTTTATCTATATAATTGGTGTTTTAGAGTTTGTGCCTTGTGCATGTTTCAAGTGAACCGGATATTGGTTATTTATCTCAAACCAGTATTTGAATCGGAAATGATTAGCTTTGTAAAGATATTCCTTTTTATGACTTGTGTTTTAAAGGATGGATCGTTGTTTTAAAGGAAAATGTCCGTCAATGTTTTATCTAATAAAACCGCTTTAACTCACTAGGCGTCAAGCCTAACATCTTTTCTTATCGACATGTATATCAGGTCATAGTGGAATGCGAGCAGCATTCAGAGCTTTGTAGAGGTCTTATTAGGATGGCTTTAGATGCATTATCTAGTTCTGAAAACAGCAGAATTTATGTTGTGGTAACACCCAACATATTCTAATTTTATCTGGGAATTAGATAATTCTGTTTAGAACTCTAATATTTACCTAGCCCTCCTTCATGTATTTTTGTATTAAAGCTGTTTAAATTTGAAGGAGTTAGCAGGTGTTAAATTTTTTGTTTTTTCTAAGTTTAGGGATGTTACATAAAAAACCGTCAAACGAAGCTGAAATAACAGAAATAATCAATTACCTTAGAAGTAAAAAAGGACAACAAAGTGTGTTCCTAAAACTTATCATGGTCCTAACTACGTTTCAATTGGAAAAAAAAGAATCTTCACGTCTCTCGTTAGGCCTCATCAATCTCAAATCTTTTTCCAAGTCTAATCACAAGTTTGTTTGAACTCTGTCTTTGGCCCTTGAGTCTTTTCTTAAACTTCAAACGGCTGGTACAGATTTTTATATCATGATAAGAAAAATACCAACTTTATAACTTTATAACTTTTTCTATTCTGTTTTTTTTTTTTCCTCCTTAAAACCTATCGATATCATCGGCCAAACTTTCTTTTGGACTTTAGTAAACAAATTGAAAACCTTCTGATTATGACCCATCAACAACAGGGCTATAAAGTTCAGATGTTTATTGAGGGGCAAAAAAGGTTAGCCATCAAATATATCATCAGATCAATCATCGTTCAACGTTATTGTTTTTCGGATGTCTCGTGATTATACAAAAGAATATTTTCTATGATAAGAATGACAAGAGTGCTAAATTAAATCAGTATAAATTTTTGTTCTCCGTATTCCAACTTACTTTTATGAACTCAATTAAAATAAACATAAAAATGAACAGGTCTCTCACGGTATAATCCTCTTCCCATCGAGTCCCTTTTCTTCTCGATCCACAGAGACAAAATGTAGGACTGGCGCCACACGTCAAAATGGGTTGGGTTAGTCCCTCCAACAATTTTTTTGGGTTTATTTTTAATTTATTATAATAATTAATGTATTAAATATGATTACATACTTGTATTAGTAAAATAACTAGAAGGACAAATCTTCATTTTAATGTTTAGTTTTTATTATTTGTCTCTATCGATATAATATGATTTTATGTGGTTTTGAGAAAGCATTAATGTTTTTATTTTTTTGATGAAATATAAATTTGAAAATAGTATAAAATTTTGAAGAAAAAAAAATCAATATCAGTATCAAATTAACTATTTAATAGTTTTTTTTTGTATAACTTCTTTAATTTAATTTTTTATTATAATTTAATTTAGATTTAATAATAAAGTAATTTATTTTTTGGTTTAATAATATAATTTTTTTATAAAGATAATAATTAAATTGTTATAACTCAATGATTATCTTAATTATATTTTAGATTTTCTATATTTAAAATTATTTTTAGATTTTTTCTATATTTAAAATGGATATTTATCCTATTATGTTTATTTGCCGTTAGTTTCACGAATTTAAAAATAGGGCTTTAATAAGTTATACTTACGTAAAATTACTTGTAATTTTGAATTTTAAGTAATATGTATTAATAAACAGTACTTCATGCATAAAAAATGATTTTTAAGAAAAAATTTGTCAAATAATTTATAATATATTATAGATAATTTAATTATTTTTAAATAAGCGATTTAGGATGAAGTTAGTATCTCAAATTCTCAATCCACTGTAAGCGACCTATTTTCTTTCTAGATAAAGTCATGTTTTAACGGGTGGGTTTTATGGGCCTCAAACATAGTACATCAAAACGGGCTCAAATGGGCCGATTTTAAGTCATTTTTGGCCCAATAGGCCTGAAGTCCATAAGGATTTTAATTTTTTATGCTATGTTCTGACTTCTGAGTCCTTTTTCCGAAGGAAAGGAAAATAAAGTAGAGGAAATAAAAAAAGGTTGTGTTTTCGAGTTTTTTAAAAAACAAAATGAAAGAAAAATGAAGGGAAATAATATTAATTTTTCTCCCAAATGTGAGAGGAACCAAAGGGTCTTTATCTAGCGGTATGTAAGTCTTTGACCTCCTATAAGGTCATGGGTTGAAATTTCACCAAAGGTGAGAAGGGTGTGTAAGTTTATTTGTTCTATTTATTGTATATAGTATTATATACTTCAACAAAAAAAAATGTTGTTTTCCTACCAGTTTCACTATTTGACTGCTTTCATGCTTCAACAATTTTAAAGTTTTAACTTTGAAACTCTTGAGCTTGGTATTGCTATTAGTTTCTTTTCGCTATTGTTTTTGCTCTGTTTCTATTTGCTTGTTGCTATTTGTTCATGTTGTTTGCGTAACTGCTTTTGCTGTCACCTGCTATCCCACTATTGCTTTTGGTTTTATAACTGGTATTGCAATATCATTTCACGATTATTACTAGTTGTTGTTTGATGATCTAGTTATTATTCTTATGAATTATGACATATTTTATGATCTTGTGAAAGATCAATAAATTCTCCTTGTTACATCGATTACTTCCACTGTTTCTATTAAGTTCCATAAAATTTTACTGAGAACTTATTTTTGTATAACAGTAAAAGGACGAAAAGACATTCAAATTATTTTATCAACCATTTTAAATGTTTGCTTTACAATTCTACTGTTAATTATGAGATAGATTAATTATTACTCATATTATTAAAGTAATTGGAAAAATATAATGATTATATATTTATAAAATTAAATGTCTTTTTTCTTCATAAACATTTATTTTGAAACGAAGACTAGAAGAATTGCAGGAGAACTAAGAGTTTGATCAAATTAGGAAGACGACCAGGGGCGTCCGATTGACTAACCGCACGACTTAAGTCGCATGGTTAGTCATGGGACATTATGTCTCAGATCCAGAGAGTTTTGCGGCTTTTCCCGCGGGTGAGGCCGCTTGGCAAGCCGTGAAAGATTTTGTCTCGGGATCCAGTGAATTACGTGACTTTCCCAGCGGCTTAGGTCGCGTGGGAAGTTGTGGGATCCTCTTTTTCGGTCTCTTTGTCACGATTTTGTTTTCATAGGTCCACCCCTTGAAGAGTCGATCAAGTGGTCTAATGTTTGGTCGCCATCGACCTATCGAAGGACCATATATGTCATCTCAAATATTCTTGCAAATTTCCAACATTACAACTTGAAAAAATGTACATTCGCATAATATTACATCAAGGGCGAAAACGTAATTTGCTATAAGAGTAGCCTCTTGGTAGTACATTATATTACTCAGCCACTACTTCTAATAGAATCCTCTAACCAACTTGGCACTGGGAATTGAAGCATGTAACTGAAATACCATCATTAGATGGCTTCTGCTTTTTTTTTTTTTTTTTTTTTTGTGTGTGTTCCTTTTTAGACTCTCAAGATAACCACACCTCACGAAGGAGTTCGTACCTTGCGTTTACCGGAGAATGACCGGTTTGGTTTGTATGTTGTCCGTTTTCGTTTCTTGTAACAGTTGGAGATTGAGGTAGTTTATCGATGATAGAATTGAGCGGGGAATCAAGTTCTTCTAGCTCCTCGTCACTAGTGTATCCTTTTCTTTGAATGACGGATGCGTTTCTGCTTAGTTGAGATTTTCCACCGGCCTCCGTCACCTTCTCTGCAACATCGGTGGAGGAAGGAGGTCTATATATGACCGGAGCAGCTGCATAAGGGAAACTGCTTGAATCGTCTCCTGATAATCTATGCTCTATGATGGACTACACAACCAAGGAAAAACAAGCAGTTATTATATATAAAAACAAGCAGCAAAAACGTAGTGTTTGGAAAACCATGACTAGTCATACTGGTCCCACGACGAGGTAAATTGCGTGTCCCAAAGACAGATAAGAGGTGTTTGGGATCAAACCTAGACCTCCCACTCGTTCTGACTAGTGACTAGTGAGACCATGTTTGACAACCATAAACTACCTTATTTTTTGGGCTTATCGAAAAAGCCCTATTTGTTTAGCCATAACCTAGCTTTTTAAAAAGCTACTTCAACTAGCGTTTCCATAAGCTCACATGGGATTTTTCCCTTTTTTTTTTCTTCCAATTATGCATCTTATATTCTTCCAATTAAATTTTCAACATGTCAATTTTGGTCATTTTATATTATCATCCAGCTTCTCAAATAGTTTTTACCAAATATGACAAGTTTATCAACTAACAACCAACTTATCAGTTGTCAGTTCTTCCAAGTCCCAAGTTAGACTAGGGTACATCGGTTATATTTTCTTGTACGTGCTTCTATCTGTACGTTACGAGTCCTAGGTTAGACTAGGGACTAATTGGGTTTGTTTGGTTTGGTGTAGTGTAGCTAGCTTATTAGCCAACAACTAGCTTATTAGCTAGTTTGCCAAGCATAGCCTTAATGGCAGTGACTAGTCTTCCGTTAACGAGGGCATATTTTTCTCGCATTGATTTGGAATGAACAAAAGTATACCTCAGCATTTACTGCCTCCAATACAGCACCAGGAACTGAATCTGGACAGAATTCATCTGGAGTGAAGTTGCAGAGAATTCGCTTGAGCAATGGAAGACTGATGGAAGGGCATACCTGGTTACGAAAGAGAAGGATCAGATGAGATGTTAGAACGATTATGGATATTTTGTTATAAGCGATAGAAAGGAAGTGTAAGGTTTTAACCTCGGTTCTAACTGATCTGTCCATAAGCATGTCTTTAGGTAGCATTAGAAGATCACTTAATGCATTTAGGAGATGAAAACATTTGAGTTCACCATTTCTATCTTTCCYTACACCATCATCTTCACCTGTACCATGCTCATCCTCAGTGTCCATTCCAAACCAATCAGAAAGCCATCTAGACCAATTGCCAACCTACAAACATGTAAATTTGTGTCATTATGGGAATATGGATTGGCAATGAATTTTTCGGTTTTTTGGATGCCAAGTTTAGGTACATACCGCGTTTTTTAGTTGTGCCCCGGAGCCAAAGCTTAGGTCCCCAGCCGGAATAGGCAAAACTCTGGATTCAACGATAGGATCTGAGACAGGATCGGTTGGGATTTCATGGGCTGATTCACGAAGAATGGCATTGAACATGGCTACATCAAGTCTGGCAACACATTGCTCCATTACCTGACCAGCAATTTTTTGGGTCATTTGTTAAATATAATTAAATGAGTTTTCAGTTAGGAGCATGCCCTAATTTTTTTTAACTCAACGACCTTCAACTTCATCTGACCTGCCCATGGTATTATACAGTCTGGGGGTAAAACAACATGCCCCGTAAAAACTTGAAAATACATTGGAGGGTAATTTTGCAAAATGAGCATCTGGATAGCCCCAAAACACTTGAAGGAGTACTACGAGCATTAACATTTATATATACCGAGTATTGATGATATTTAGTACACTCTAATAATGTTCTGACTAGTCTTGGTCTTTCTTCTCTTTTTGCTCACACTTTTGCACAAGCAAGGTGTATTCATGTAAACAACCGTTCTACCCATTGAGTAGATGACAGGTCTATGTACATCTCCCATGCCGCCCCCCCAAAAAACGACCCTGTTTTCTAATGGAATATACTGGGTTCGTCTGGTTTGGTTTTAGTAATGTTCTGACTCGAAAAACTCAAAGCTACTTATGAAAACCCATCAGAAATGACATACCATTCTTGCCAACACGGGAAGGCAACCACATTCATGGCCGCCTGCACGAACAGGACAAAGTCTCTTGAAAGCGTCGTGGAAAGCAATCCTCCATAGGTTAATGGAAAAGTTGACCTGCTGCTGGTTACCCAAAGCAGGTCCTAGTAACTTCCCGATACCTTTATTAGTATTTGTCTCGGCCGCTAGAGATTGCATTTTAGGAGTCAAGGTCTGCACCAGAAAGAACTTGTTCAAAACTGTAAATATGACGACAGTAACCCATCTACAAACTTTGGTACCCTATATATCGAGCTTGGAACCACTCCAAAAAGAAATGAGTCGAAACAAGAGGTATTACCTGCCACCATATAGACTCTACAATTCGTGAAAAGATCCAAGACTCGACTTTCTCAAGTGTGGATGTGAAGGTTCTTGTTTCTTGCCAATCATCGATGAACTCCATAAAATCAGGTTTATTAGATTGTTTACTTCCAGAACTGGTCTTCCATGGTAGTGATGGGATTGTGCCTTCCCTTTTATTGCTTGATCCGTTTGAATTGAGTACCCTTGTGAGTGAACTTGATTGACATGAACTGCCAAATGCTTGGGTTATTATTTCCCTCAATACAATAGTGTTTGACCACCAGAAAGTTAACCTATAAATAGAAAGAGAGGCTGCATTATTAATCTGAGATGAAGGGGAACATAATCCAGAATCCATCCACCCCAAAACATGAAATTAAGGCTATGTTTGACAAACTAGCTGATAAGCTAGTTGTTGACTAATAAGCTAGTCATGTTTGGTAAAAACTTGCTGATATATATGACAATGTAAATGGCCTAAAGAAACATGTTGAAAAAGTATTTGGAAACATATAAGAGGCACAATTGGAAAAAAAAAAGTGGAAAAAGCCCGTGGAGCTGCGTTTCAAAATGCCTAACAAAGCGGGGCGTTTCAATAACCTCAAAAAAAGTAGGCTAGCTTATGATTGACAAACATGGCTTTTAAGTACCTTGGAACATCATTGCCACAAGACTTTGCTATCAGAACTAGCCCTGATGCAGTGTTCTTAGCAATGGTAGACCGCTTCCCTTGTGAGTAGTGCTTGGCAGCATGAATATAAAGTCTAGAAAGGCGGCGGGCAGGCGTGTGCACCTTATGGGCTGAGCTACCATGCTCTGGTACCACGGAGTAGAGCGAAATCTCAAGAGCAGCAACTTCTCTTAGCTCCTCCTCAAGTTTCTCAATTCTCATTTCCATTTCTCCAATCTTCTGATCCAATGCTTCTTTTCCATCGTTATCGATTGTTTCATTGTCACTTCCCACACTACGTGCCACATTTGAGGCCTCATTCGGGAAACCCGCTTCTCTTGGCTCTTCAGAAGTTTGGTCATCTATTCCTTCAGAAGATACTGATGAAGGTGCAGACGAAAGTTTTGGATGAACTTTCACACCCTTTGAGTTGCTTTCAGCAGAATGTTTCCCTGTGCCATTGGAAGGCCCTTTGGTAGAATTTGTTGTTTTCATGGAAGTGCTAGCAGATGCATTAGTCTGTGAATTACGTAATTCGCGCTCAGATTTCACTCTTTGTAAGTGTGATGAATTTTCAGAATTATCTTTTTTTGCATGCTTTCGTGAATCTCTTGGAACAGTTTCCAGTTTTTCATCCTCAGCGGCCCGTGAATCCCCACTGGAGGACACAGAATCGCTCACTGTTTCTGAGTCTGATTCTTCCCTTCCATCATCTGCTTCTTTCTCTAAATTTGTGTTCGATTTATGGCTTCCATCATCAAGGGTTTTAATATTTTGAGATGCTTCCTCAGACCCATGAATAGCGTCCATGTTTGTGTCACTAATTATGCCAGAATCTGCTTTTCCAGGCAAGACTTTAGTATCTACGTTCTTTGTTCTTGATGGTTGGCTTGCTTTTTCTTGTTGCAGCTTATTCTCTCTGTTCTGTGACCTTACAGAACGTTTGGTTTGATTATTTATTGGAGATCTCTTCTTGTCTGTCTGCTTCATATTTACTCTATTCGTCCTTCAACTGCCCAAAGAAGTCTCCCGATGAGCATAGCAACGAGTAATGAAATCCAAATCAAGGCATATACTGAAAATTACAACTATGAACAGATTTTAACTTCATTCAGCATGCAAAGAAAGGTTTCCAAACGCATACACTGGTGTCATCTCACGTTATACGGTCATAGTACAAGCTAAGACCCGTAAATAGAACATCAGGAAAGTTATTTGGACTTTTTGGGGGTAGTGTTGCTATTTCCATCAACCTCGGGTTCTCATAGTAAAAAATGAAAAGGACTCGATGTACAAAGTAAACAGATTTAACTTTTCACCCTTGATCACTTTGAATCAGCACCTGCAAACCATAGGAGATGTATAACCAAAGATGGGGTCTGGGGATAAAATATATGTAAATTTGACCTCTACCCTAAAAAATAGAGCGGCTGCCATGATGGCCCCTACTAGTGAAAAATGTGTGAAATGAAGAAAAACACATATGATCCCACCTGTAGGAGCCATGTGATCCAATTAATTAATCCATCCTGTGAACCAATACCAACCACAAGGTCAACACATCAATTGCGATAGTAGTACAAGCTCTTACAAGATATATATAGCCTATGTACTTTCTACTTTCTAACTTCTATCCTGTGAAATACCTATTATAACCCTAGGTTCTTGGTGCTGAAGCTCAACTAGCAGAGCCTTATGTTTGCTCAAATTAGTAAAATGAAATCAAACCAAGCAAACTCAATATATCTCACCGGAAGATGGGATTAGAACTAAGATATGCACAGATCCAAAGAGACAGATAGACTGCTTCCGAGATTTTGCACAAATTTATAGATGAAAGTCATGATATCAATGTTGAAGAACGTAAATTTTCAGTCTGATCCAAGATAGGAGATGAGATATCCTTATCATTGTGTGATCAGAATGTCTGATTGCACCAAATTCAACACTTTTTTCATCATCAACTAACAAAAGATGCAGAAGGTTTGAGCAATTGGCTGTTAAAGCCGTTCATACTAATCATAATCAAAGCTGTTCACAGATCTAAACCGCAACAGATCTGAAGAACATAAACAGAGCAATGAACACAGTTATAACTCCACCTTAACTTTCAACAGCGGCAAATATTCTTATTTTCAGAAATTCGATTCAATTAACCCCAAAGCATTGGACCATTAAAGTAAAAAAATGAACAAAAACAAAAAGTCGGATCCACCGCCAATATCTATGCAGTATTTCCAACGGAGATGGTAAATCGAGTCGACTAAAGTAGCAATATATTCTCTACTGAAGCATATTTCAAGCAAAACTGCAACCGACCATTGATCCAAAAGTGCAGAATTATTAGCAATATAGAGCTAATGGTTATATGAGTTCAATAAAGAACTACATGGCGACACAGAACATCCAAAAAAGGGAAGACAAGATCTAAGCTCAAAATTGAGAACTTAGAACACTTGGCTGTCAATTTTCGAAACGTGGAAGAAGACGACGACAGACGCGACAAAAAGGTACGTATTCAATTCATAGATTTTAATAGCAAATGCAATGAGCGTCCGTCGAACTAACCAATTTTCTTTATGCTTCTGAACTTGCCTTTTTGTCGTTGAGGTTGAAGCTTTTGAGGATATATGGCAGAAGAAGCTTCAAATGATGAAAACAAAGCTGGCGCTGTGGTCCGCCATTGAAGAAATAGAGAATCTTCGGGATCAGCAGCTCTCTTGAACTCCAAAGGCTTTTGGCTATAGTCCTTAAATCCCACACCGTCTCTAATGGATACATACAGGTGTATATATGCATAGTTTCTCTCTCATCCCCACACCCCCCAATGGTTCTTCTCTCTAAAAATACTGCTGTTGATGAATAAAGTGATGGTGAAAGAACGGAAATGGAAAACCAAATAAATATTGCTGTCTCCATCCAATTTAGATTTAAATTTAAATATACACTATTTAATTTCACATATTATTTACTAAAAATAACGAATTATTATAACAGTTATTGAATGGTTTGATGCCTCTCATGATATAGTGTGCTGAATGGTTAAGAGAGACTTAAGATATAAAATCATTTAGAGGGTTTTGGAACCATTAATAGGCATATTTTTTTTTACCAAACAAAATTTATCTGTCTCTTAATGAAATTTTTAAGAGATAAATATACAATGCTTAAGCATTTTAAGAAAATATTAAAATAGAGATAAATTAAAAAAAAAAAACTATTAAATCAAAGTTACATGTAAAAAAACATGCTAAAGTGGAAATATTGTATTTATTGAACGATTCAAAACTGAACGAATTTATTGATAATTGACGTAATAGGTAATTTAAAGCAAACTTAGGTCTTTAACTGATAAAAAAACACATCGTATTTTAACAATTGTGGTGTTAGTATCTTTCAATTTCTAACTGTTTATATCTTAATTATCAGTGACATGATAAAGTTCATAAGATCCACATTTCAACGATCCTTTTCCACAATCTCTGCGCTTTGCTTAAAACAAATTTCTATAACTAACATAATGTTAATATTTTATAAGAATTACAGTATGTTTTTAGTTTCAAATAGATACAGTTTTAGGTATCATGCACGTTACAAAATTCATGAAACATATCATAATAAAGGTTATTTTGAGGATTTCGTAGAATTGGAAGTCGAAGGTTTTTACAGAAATAGTCGTTGTATGTTTTTTGGTAGACTACGTACATACAATTCTCAAGAGCTTGCTTTCGAATCAGATATAATAAGTTCATTTGATTTGTTTTATAACATTTGATATAATAAGTTCATTTTTTCTCTATTTTGTAATTAATGATAGAATGAAAAGATAAATATTTATTTTAAAAAACAGACATTTAATTTAAGACAAAATAGAATATTGTGGGTTTTTTTGAAGAACATACGAAATTTCGATAATTTGGAAAACTAGTGCATTACGTGTTATATCGTATGAATTTTTTATCTAAAAATTAGGATTTTGAATATCGATTTAACATATGTTTGTTTCACAATGTGTTTGGTTCACATGTATTTATTTCCCAATATGAACATTTTTGGTTGGTTTATGAAACAAAAGTTATGCTTAAAATAGTTTCACATTATGAACTGTATATATATATAAATCAAACATACTGTGAAAATGTTAGCTTTCTATGAAGAAAATCATATAAAACATTAATTTAAGATAGAACTTATCATGATTAAATAGAGTTATCAGATAATTAAGCATGTTAAAATAATAATGTAGATGTTTATTTTATGGAAAAAAAAATGAATAGTACGATTAGTTAATCACAATGGTGGTGTCTGATTGATTTGAGCTTGACTTTAAAAATCAAAAGTACCAGGAGATCCTAGGTTCAAATTCAAGTAGGAATAAAAATCTCATTGTGGTTATGGAGGTTCAAATGCGATGACTCCGGGCTATCTGTAAAGCAGATGATCGTCTTGAAATTAGTCGGCTCGCATAACGAGTTGGGTATCCAGATTAATAATAAAAAAAAATAGTTTGATTAGTTTAAAATTTTGAAGCAGTTTACGTGAGAGGGAAAAAAAAAAGAGGAATGAGTCGTGATGGGTTGGTGCCTGTGGTACGGTCAGTATGGTGTCGGGAAAGTGGGAAGTTACCGGTTACATAATGTCGGTGGCGGACAATTAACCGGCAATACCCGGTTAAATTACGCATTTCATGATTCTTAAGATATAGATATTATTCGCCTGTGCAAATGATTTAAATAAATAAATAAATTATTCCCTTAAAATACTCTTGTTTTTGGCTTTATATTTTAAATTTGATAAATGGTTTAAGCAAGAAACATGCTTTTATCCAATTTTATAAATTCAGTCTACGTGTTAATGGGTTATATATATATATATATATATATATATATATAGAGAGAGAGAGAGAGAGAAAGAGATAGAGAGAGAGGGGTTGGTTTAAATACTAACCCATTTTTTTGTGTTAACTATGCTAACCAACATCAACCATTCATGTTCCATTTTTTAGTTAGATTCAAATGTAACTTACATATTAAATGTAAGGGTATTTATGTAATTTGTCATTTTTATATAACTCCCCAATATTTTAATTGAGAGTTACAAATCTTAAAATACCACTAATTGATTTTCATGTAATAATGACATGAAGTTTCACATTTGTTCATCTTACTGATTTTTACATTTCATTCTTCCTACAATGGTTTTGATATTGTAAATTTCAAAAAARTCYYTTYTGTAAAGATTTCGTTATAGTCCGAGTAATATGGATAATCATAGAKTAAAACAGATCGACGACAATGAGAATGAAAAAGCTAAAAGCGTCTACGAATACATTTGGAATTCGAATTCCGAAAGTGAAGAAAATGATCAAATCGTTCACGCACATGTTCACTCAAACGTCGACATATGTGTTCACTCGTACACATATGTGTTCAATTGGTTCACACAATATGTCCATTTGGTTCACACACATGTTTCAATTGTTCATTAGGTTCACACATTGTTTTGATGAAGATTATGAACCTAATTTTTCAATTGTTCATTAGGTTCACACATTGTTTTGATGAAGATTATGAACCTAATTTTTCAATTATTCATTAGGTTCACACATTGTTCATTAGGTTCATACACATGTTTCAATCTTATCTGGATGCCGTCGCCTGGTAATCCTTCCAAATCCTCCATTGTTTTAATGAAGATTATGAACCTAATTTTTAGCTACTGATTTACGATATTGATCGATGAGATTGACGGTTTCTTTATTGATTGGAAGTTACAGAATAGGCTGACAAAATAGGATACGTTAAAATCATTCACTTTTTACAATTCTACCATCTGAACCATTGTGAACCTAATTTTTTATTAATATGGTAATTAAATAATTAAATTTTTAGTCTCAATAAATGACAACCGTTGGATGTTCAAATCAACGACCAAGATTGGTTAACAAAGTTAACACAATAATCTTGGTTAGTATTTGAACCAGCCCCTATATATATATAGGGGCTGGTTCAAATAGAAACCAACCATATGGTACAAACTATGTGAACCGATCTTGATTGTTCATTTTATCATCAAACGGTTATTATTAAATGAGATTAAATAAACAATAATTTAATTAATGTATTAATTGATATGTGTATGAACAATTGTTCAAAGGGTAAATTGGTCAAAC